AGAGAGAGAGAGAGAGAGAGAGAGAGAAAAGACAAGTAACCGCTATTAAATCAACATACCTTAAGCGATCTTCATTTGAATACGATTATGGATAACGCGATATCAGAACTGTGCTGCGATATCAAATTTGATATTCAAATAAATGATCCGTCTATTGTTCAAAGTGGATTCTGTCTTCGATTTATATCAATCGAAGATCGAGAGTGTACCGGTATTTCGCGTTTTTTCATGCTTGGGAATAAACATGCTTGGGAATATTCGCATTTACGACAAGATTCCTATACAATATTAATTATCCGGTATTTCAGGTACTCCGCGAAAGTAAAAAATCATATTTCCATTTTCAAGAAATACATCTCATAAAAGTCACGCGAGAAACGGTTCAACGAGAGGTATTGCTTTTCGCATCTTTTACGAGGAACTTTCATCAACGAGATTTGTTTCCTTGCGGCAAACGATGATTCGCATGGCATTTCGTCGCGGGGTACATAAACGTAGTATTAAACCGTTATGCGTCGCGGAAACTTTGTTTATTTAGAAGTTATTTATTTGAGAGAAACATCGTGAAGACAGTGATGAATCTATGCGTATATTCTGTATACGGAAACTTGTACAAATATGATATGCATTGCGGTGTCGACTTGCGAAAAAAGTGAGAAGGACTAAATTTAACATTGACGAATGTATATCCCACCATCGCGGAAATCAATCTGAGTAACGCTAAATGTTTTAAGCACGATAGTATACGGTGTATCTTATGTAACGCAATTATGTGCATTGTCTTGTGATAAACTGCAAGATAAATTAATACAAAATCTCATCAGGAGGCAAGAACTAACAGTCAGAATATAATGCAGTCACCGGTCACGTTTCTTCTCTTCAAGAGAAGGAACAACCTATTATTTATTAACTATCCACTTGGAAATTGTAGATCAGCTATCTCTCGCATTGCGGAATCAAAGTCTGTTCGCGATTTTAATGTTATAGTAACAGAATACGCTAGCAAAAAATTTCAGAAAACCATTGAAATAATTAATCACGAGTTCTGTGTTCTGAATTTTACATTTAAATGTCGATTTTGCAGCTTGAAAATAAACAGAGTACAAATATTTTTGAACATTTGCACCAAAAACGCATTTCATTACTTGTTATCAAAAATTTCCTACAAAATTGTCGTCAAAGGCTCATTTTCGCCATACATTTTTCGGTTCATAAACCGACCAAAGATAAGATGCATTCCGCGCGAGCTGCATTTGGCAGTGAGATACGCGATGACATTTCTATACCAAATATATCGCACAAAGCGACGCCGCCTCGTACTGTCATATTAAATATTATTTATGTCCCTTCACATACAAAGAGAGACCGGTTGACTCGCCTGGGATCTGAGTTCTTGTATGCGCGTGTGTGCATAAAGAACGCACGTCCGATACGCATAACCGCGCCGCACAAAGCGTGAGCACGGTCGCTAAGGTTCCAATCGAAAAACAATATCGATCCATTGTTCCAGCCAGCCAATAAATATCATAAATATCGGCCGACTGAATTATCGGACTGATCTCGCGCGTTGAAACAACGTATGCGCCGATTCTTGTAGTCAGATTAAGCTTCTCTACTACTTGAGTATACATCTATGATAAATGTGGAATAAGATTTGCACCTCGTTAGCCTTTTGAACGAACAAAGAAATATGTATTGCATAATGCTACAAGAAATCGCGGCGACGCTCCTACAATTCTAATGATATTCGGTCCTCTTATCTCATTGAATCTATAGACTCCGTGCGCGGACTACAATTTGTTAAATTTATATGAGCTTTAAAACAATTATGCTCTAACTTCTTTTCATGTTTGAAGCTTTCTTTTCTTGTATAGCTGTTAATTGAATTGCCGTGCATTATTCGACAGAAATTCATAATAACAAAGAGATCGCGTCGATCCTTATTGTACTTGTGTACATATCCAATTTATTTGAAACTCAAGCAAGAGTTTCGGATTTAGACAGATACTGCCTTTGCACGATAAAAGAAACTTCCTCAACCGTGTATAAAAATGCGCGTATTGTGCACTGTCACAGAGAGGTAACATTATATCACATTTGTCCTCGTGTACCGAACTGAGACATGTATTTCTACTCACGTTTCAGCGTCCCTTTGTGCGTCGCCCCTGTTATGGATCTGACATCACGACGAAACGATTGAATCTAGAAGAAAAATACAGGAGCTACGTTACTTTTTTATTGGACTCGACGCTTTCCGTAAAAGCGGAATTCCGCAAATAACGGTAAATGTGCAAATTGTAACTTAATATTATTTAACATATTATACCGATCTGTAAACAGTAAGAAAAACCTGTGGAAATTTGTTAAACTCATGATTGTTTAGCGATTATGCTTAACCGCGCTTTTGTCACTCCTGTGAATAAGTCTGTCCAATTTTGTAATAATGGTACACCTAGACATTTCTACAAAGCAGCGAAGCAATTTGCATAATCTTCAAATAAAATGCGGAATTTAAAGCGTTGCAGCAAAGAAATATTATGATACAGGCTGTGCCATCTTTTGGTACTCGCTGGAAACTGCGTTCATCTGCCAGTGATTCTCAATTTAAGGATGCTGTGCCTTTCAATGTACAATAAAATGCGTATAAAAGCGCTCAATCCTTATATTTAATAGAAACATTAATTGATCTTAATCATCTTGTCTTTTACGCGTCGTAATTTTGCAACAAATATAAAACACACCTCGATATTTCGTGGCAGCATGCGTAAGAATGAATCCAAATGCAATTGAGAACCAACGTTAAAAAGAATGATTTTCGATGGGAAGGAAAATCCCCGGGCGACCATATGGCCACAGCCTTTTTACCTTATCGATATTAGCATAGAAGAGCAGTTTGCAAAATCGTTACGCGTTACGAAAGTGCACGTCTGGGCCTACTAAAGGCTATCTCGCCGAATAAAACGACCTTTAAATAAGGTATTACGCCAATATGTTCACCGGACAAATGCAAAAAATAACGAAAGGTAGCTCAATTATTTCAACCGAACGGTCCGGTTCAAATAATTATTGTTGATTAAACTATTGTGATTATATTCGTTAATCTTGTCGTTGCGATGCAAGAAAAAAATAATATCTAAAGTAATAATAAATTTAAAACATGTCGAGACAATGCTGAAAGATAACATACATTAGACTTAAGTGTGTTTAAATATCAATATTATCAACTAAAACCATAAATTTCTTTTCTTTATATTTTGTATCAATCACACACAACAAAGACTCTAAAATAAATAAATAAATCTTGCATGCGCCGCTTCTAAAAAAATACTAGTTAATCCTAGATTAGCACACCTATTCACTGACACATCAAAATACCCGCTGCGCTAAAGCCGCAAAGAGTTAGCACCGCGCGATTACGCGAAGAATGTGGTGCGCGCGATGCACGCACTTTGCACAAATTCAGACACAGCATAATCTGCCATCGAGTGGGCGAATAGGCACTGGCAAAGGGGTGCTACAGCTCAGGCGGTGTAGGAGGTAAGTGCGCGGAGGGGCGCGGAGTGAAAGAGGATTGCCGATCCATCCATGAGAGATGACGCCAGTCTCTGAATGCGGGATAAAACCTTGCTGATGCCCAGCAGAGCGATCCGCGGGATGGAAGCGAGAGGGTGAGCTTAGAGAAAAGGAAGGAGAAAAATAACGCGAACGAGAGAGCGAGAAAGAGAAAGAGAGGCGAAAGGGACGAAGACGCTACTGAATGCCGCGGAAAGTAAAACTCAAGGCAGCGGATCCGAAAGGACGCTGAAGACTCCCAAATCCATATAAATTGTCGTATTGTTGGAAGACCGTGTCGCATACCAATTCGAGACACACAATATACTGAACAGAAAGCACTGTCGATAGTCCAGGTGATCGCAGCTTGTTACAATTATCATCACTATTATACGTATGATTTCTATATCACAATCAGTCCATAAGAAATCCATGTAACATCATAAATTGAAATACTTAGATTTAAATACATAGAATTAAAGAATTAAAATAAATTTCGTTTTCTTTCTTTATATAAATATTCTTCCAACTGTTCTCTCATTTGGCAAATTCGAAGATTTTGCACAAACAGAAGGTTTTCGTAATCAATTCTATCTTTCTGCTTTCGATTTGCACAAAATATAAATAAAGATATAGAGTCTTCATTTAAGATTCATGCATGTCGTGAAATCCCAATGCGCCCACAGATTTTTGTAGTCATCCTCGATACAATTCGTCACTTCTAGGGTAGATTATGGAGATCGCCGTAAATAACGAAACGCCAGTCGATGTATCACCGAAAGAAATCGGATCGCATTGTTATTCCGTTTGCGTTTCCGTGCCCGCACGATTTGCTTCTGTACGCGGGGCTGCGCGACGCGACTTCCGATCGGAAGACTCATCCGATCGACGCCGAACATTCTTGCGAAGGCAAAGGTGTGAGAGGATGTTTTTGCGCTTTCCTAATCGGATGACGCGTTAAAGCGAAGTTCTGGTCCACGGCGCGATCCAAGAAGATTATCGACATGTATCATCTACCCGCTGACGTCTGGATTTTCTCTTCGCTTACCTATCCCCATCGAAGCGCGATATGCTGTCAGCTAGGTCTTTGAAGTCGACTGAAATACGACTCGGTACTGCAAAGCAGTGGTGTCCAACTTAAAATCTGTGTGTTTAATCCGTGGAAAGTTTTTAAGATTATCTTATTGAACATAAAAGTCAGACACGATGTATCGAAAATTTTGATTGCCATCTCTGCAAAGTTCGATTTAATTATCTGCATAAATGTACAATCCGCGCGTAATATAATAATAATCGTTACAAGCGGATAATTTCTACAAAAGAAATTTGAGAAAGTCATTTATAAAATGATTAATTGGACTTTCGAACAAAAACATCCCAATTTCAAGCTCGTTTCGCTTCTTACGCTTCGAGAGCTGTTCGAAAAACAGTTGGACGTCACTGTCCAAGGGATCATAGGCCGGCATCGGGCAAGGTTAAAAGTGGAAAGACGTTCGTATGATCGCCATTGGAGCGGGTGGCTAAGGGATTTCAGTCAAAATACAACTCCTTAGTGTACTGGCGGTAGCCGATAAATTATTATCTCCCGAAGATTAGCCCTGATGTCGCGACCCTCATAAATATCAGTATATTTTTGCTCGGTAAGCCGATTTCCTTTCTGCCGAAGGCTTCGAAACGTAGCGGCTGCTGCCGAACAGCGCGAAATCCTTTCTTACCCCCTCCCGCCTGCCGCTGTTTCGCGATCCTCAGCGATCGTTCCCGTGGAAGGCTCTTTATAGACCCGGAGATTAAAGATGCTTCTCGTATTCCTTTTTAATTTCGCGTCTCTCGGCGCGACCGGCGTCGGTTATTTTCAGTGGTAAGCCCGTGTCAGCATACGCCGAATAACAGATCGAAATAATTCGCCTCCTTTCGATCTTCACGGCGTATATATCGAAGAGTGTCGACATGAGTAAGTAGAAATTGCGCGACGATAACACGTTTTCTCACAGATCGCCGTACAAGACCTTCCGCTCTCGAGACATTTAATTCCCGTAATATAATTTTCGATCAATATGTAAAATAAAATATTAAAAGAATTAGAAAATTTCGAATAATAGAATAGTAAAATAGATTAGATTTTTCGAGATATACAGACAAAGTTAATACGCGAAAACTCGAAATTTAACGTAAGACAAAGTGATGTTTTTTCTTTGCGAGTCATCTCTTGACAAGTACTCGGAGCAACTCGGCGAATATCTTGGCAATGTTCGAGGACACAAACGGTTCGCCGTTTTCTTCTAGAACGCGCGATATACGTTCTTCTAAAACCTCTTCCGCCATATATGAGCCGGGTCTTACTGCCACGATATATTTTGCAAATCTTTCGCTATTTATCACCAGCAGCATTCGCGAAACCCTTGTGCGCGTAATGCTTTCCCCTTCGTTCGTCAACCGTTTTCATATTTTCATGCCGTGCTATTTTCTGAAAGCGACATTGCCAGAGATTTCCATAATTCTGAGAAACTGTCGTTCGCAGTGTGCGATCGTGCAAAATCTAAAATGGCATTTTCACACATCTTCTTTACTAATGTGACGAATTTTTACGACGTATATTAATTTGAAGATCTAGTACATATATATCAACTATAAATGTATAAATAAGAAGAATGAATATAAGTCTACAGAAAACATAAAATGTCTACATCAAATTATTAGTATATCTTATAAATCTTGATAAATTTAAGACCAGATTTCTTATCTCTAAACAGATATTTAAAATAACTTTGTTACAATCAAGAATTAATATACATTCTGATAAATTACATATTAGTCGTTTGCAAAATATAATAAAAACAAATTATATTTGAATCTAAATCACACATAATTAATTAAGAAAAACACGTAATAATGAAATTTCAGACCAGGAGCAAAATAAGATGAAAAACAATCCTAAAAATTCACAAACATTCTTATCAATGTGTCAGCATCATTTTCTACTTTCGAATATTTCGAGGAGATCTCTTTCCCGGATCCGAAGCCGCGTCGCTTTCCTTTCCATTTCACCCGAGTACAAACCCACGCCGCGTCCTTTATCACGAGCCTCGCTGTACCTCGAAGGATCGCGTGTCGTGGAAGATAGCGGAGCCGTTTGTAAAATGTAAAATTCGTAATACATCGCCGCAAAAGTGGAATAAGCCGAGACATACGGGGTGGTACCATCGGCGGCGCAGCACCGGCGGCAGCAACAGAAATGGTGGGGTGGACAGAGGGTGGTACGGTAGGTGGGTTGAGAGTAGGGGGTACGAGACCCGTGTACGGTTATGTGTCTCATTTATCAGCACAGATATTATTATGGCTCTACGCGGCCGGAGCTAGGAATTTTACATACGTACGGACATTTGTACCTTCGCGATATAATATAAGGACGTAATAATGCGCACGCATACGAACGAGCCACCCCACACGAACTGCCATCCTCATCGCGCGGACGCTCGCGCACGTAGTCGGCTTCTTTTTATCCGCCGGCGACCCGTCAGTAATTTGTATGTCGCGCAGCGATATCAAATGGCGATTAATGGCAAGAACTGATTTCGTACAAGTATTAAAGATGTAACAAAATGGTGATAACCTATTCATTATCAATTAATAAAATATGTGTTAGAAGCTGA